AGGCAGAAGGAAAGACTGGTATATCTCTTCCTCATGAAGCTTTTACCAACGTGAAAAGACAGACACTGAACAATTTAGAAGAATAGGATATCAAGGTTGATGTGAATGTGAAGTACTGGAAATTATGATAGTCCACAGGGTAAAACCCAATTTCTTAGTTATAGATGTTTTTATCTCACTAGTGTTTTTAAAGGACAGTTTAATAGTTGAATGGTATTCCATTGTGTAGGTATATCTTAATCTACTTAATATTATACATAAAGCTTATTTTCAATTTTTAGCTATTGTGATTATAGCAGTGTCCACCCTAACTGTTAAATTTTTTTTCCTAACCACAATTAGCTTTTTAATCACATATTATTAGAAGTTATATTTCTGGGTTAAGCAATAAGCATTGTCAAATTGGCTTCCATATATATTGTAGTATAACTTCATATTTTCGTTAGCAGTGAAAAACATGTGCTTCTGAATTATTGAATATCATTACTTAAAATAACTTATTTATTTATTTATTTTTTAGCCATTTGATAACTTTTGTTGATTATGTGTCTTATTGCAAGTAAGATTGAGCCTTTTAGTTATTTTTTTGGTCCTCTCATCTTTAGTGAATTGCTCATTCATATCTTTTTCCCATTTGCTGTGGCAATGTTCACATGTTGTTAATTTATCATGACCTATGCAATAAAAATATTAACTCTATGGAGAAGAAGTAGCAGAGAAATCAGTAAATTAAGGCAAAGCCATGAGCAGGAACAAACTGCTGTATTTCTCTACTCACACCTATCAGATGTGTGAGCTTTTCTACACCAAGCATTTCTGACATTAGCCTGGAGTTGTTGTAGACCCCACAAGTTAAAGACTTAGTCCCCCAAGACTGTCTCCCCTTCAGATGCCAATGTCAAGGAGTGGGTCCCCAGGTTACACACAACTTCTAACTCTCTCCTTGAGTTCAATAATTTGCTAGAACAACTCACAGAACCCAGGGAAATATTTTACTTACTATTGTTGATTTATTTCAAAGGATATTTTAAAGCATGTGAATGAATGGTCATTTGAAAAAATATTTAGGGTGAAGTCTGGAAGGTCCCAAGCTCAGGAGCTACTGTACCTGTGGGTAGAGGTGTGTCACCCTCCTAGTATGTGGATAAGTTCATTAAATTGGAAACTCTTTGAACCCCATACTTTTGGGATTTTTATGGAGGCTTCATCATGTAGGCATGATTGATTATTAACTTTATTTCTATCTCTTTTCTCTTTGGAGAGTGGAGGTAGGAATAAAAGTTTCAAGCTTCTAATCATGGCTTGAGCTTTCCGGTGATCCACCAAAAATCACTTCATTAGAATAAAAGATGCTCTAATCACTCAGAAAATTCTAAGGGGTGGCTGGCTGGCATGACCCAGCATTTGAGAATCTACCGTATTTTTCGGACCATAAGACGCTCCGGACCATAAGACGCACCAGTTTTTAGAGAAGGGAAATGAAGAAAAAAAGATTCTGAAACAAATAGTGTTCTAAAATATTTTATGTGCATTAAAACCCAACATCACAGTCATAAACACATGTAATCAACCCTGTAAAGTAAACAGCAGCATTTAGAACCATTTTAGAGCCTGGCAAGCACCCAGAGACCACACAGAGCCGGGCAAGTAAAAAAACTTTTTTTTTAAAGTATATGTGTAGGCTATATTTGGACCATAAGACGCAGGGACTTTTCCCCCCCACTTCTGGGGGGAAAAAAGTGCGTCTTATGGTCCGAAAAATACGGTACCTGTTGATCCAGGAGGTTGCGGTAAGATTTCTGGTCAGGCCACATGCCTGGGTTGTGGCCGCAATCCCCCGTAGGAGGATACAGGAGGCTGTTGATCACTGATTCTCTCTCATCATTGATGTTTCTATCTATTGCTTCCTTTCCATTCCTCTCTGAAATCAATAAAATAAATATATTCTAAAATCGTTTAAAAAAAGAAAATTTGAAGGGGTTTAGGAGCTCTGTGTCAGGACCAAAGGCTAAAATATTAACAGGAATCAGATTTCACAAGTGATAAAATAATATTTCACAAGTGATAAAATATGTGCTGAGTCACTTATTTCTTTTCTGAGCCCCATATCAGCAATTTTACTCATATCTATAATTTTATGGACTCATGATATATATCAAATCCTGTTTCTTTGGCATCTCTTTACTATTTTGTATACTCACCAAAATTTCCATATGTTGAAGCTCTGATTTCTCTCTCTCTTTTTTTTTTTCCTACTTAATATAATTAACATTTATTTCTTCTGTTAGCAGATGCATTGTAGACTCAGAGTGACCTGGGGGTCATACTGTTGTTGGGGAAGAAGGAAAGTTGGGCCTTGTTGGGATTTGTGTCTGGTTTTGCTGTCTCACTGCAGATAGAAGGATGTGTCTTGTCTGCTGTTCTGAGGATAATGGGAAGTAAATAGCTTGCAAATTGCCTATCCTTCATGTATATATGTATATGAGGGACATGTATGTATATGAGGGACATGATTATGTATATGGTTTGAAGAGCAAATTCTATAGAAAGAATTTGATTCAAGAAACTTGATAAAGTTTAGAATCTGTATGAAATAATAACTAAAGTGATAGAAAATTTGCTCCTCTTTTGTATCAGAATGAAGAGGTCCTATACTTAGAAGACTTTGTAACAGTTCTTAAGATTATAAGAGGGATGTCCGATTGGACAGGGTGCAGGCTGGGCTTATATCTTTATTCTATACTTTTCCTGTTTTAATATTAGTAGTACTAGTTGCCCTGTGCATGAAATTTGTACACAGGAAAGAGGGGTTCTTTTAGCCCAGCCTGCACCCTGTCCAATCGTACATCCCTCTGTAATGAAGCATTTAGAATACTAAATATGTGATAAATGATATCAGTATAATAAATGTGTGGCAATGGCATCAGTATATAAATATGTGTTAATGATATCTGTATACTAAATATGTGATATCATCAATATATTTATGTTATCAGTATACTAAATGCTATCAGTATTTTGATGTGAATATTTAATGTTTATTTCTCTCTAATACCTTGATTTTATTTGAGCTATTACTGTTCATATTTACTGTGATACCAAAGTTTATTTACTTTGTATAATTAATGTAGCTTCTGCTCTGTATCTTTACAAAGCTATTCTTATTTTATATCTTTATTCTATAGTTTTTCTGTTTTAATATTAGTAGTACTAGTTGCCCGGTGCATGAAATTTGTACACAGGAAAGAGGGGTTCTTTTAGCCCAGCCTGCACCCTGTCCAATTGGACATCCCTCTTATAATCTTGGACCGCTGGCTAACCTGCCTGCCCGCCTGCCTGCCTGATCACCCCTAATTGCCTCTGCCTGGCTGCCTGATCACCCCTAACTGCTCACGCCTGCCGGCCTAATCTTGCCCCCAACAGCCTCTGCCTGCCTGATCACCCCTAACTGCCCTTCCTTTGCCAGCCTGATCTTGCCCACAACTACCCTCCCCTGCTGGCCAATTTGGTTCTGATTGGTCAGTTTCTATACCAGTCAGTGTCAAAAGCTCTGCCTCCTAGGCAGCCATTGGCTCCTCACAGTTCACCCAGATTTGGTTTTGATTGGTCAGTTCATATGCAATTTTTGTTGATAGAATATGTCATCTCACTGCAATTAATTAGATTAGATTTTAAGCTTTCATTTCTTCCTTGCTGTGTTAAGGTGTGCAAAAGTTTATGTAAGTTAAAATAATTAATGTAGCTTCTGCTCTGTATCTTTACAAAGCTATTCTTATTTTATATCTTTATTCTATAGTTTTTCTGTTTTAATATTAGTAGTACTAGTTGCCCGGTGCATGAAATTTGTACACAGGAAAGAGGGGTTCCCTCTTATAATCTTGTATTCTAAAACAGTCTTTTATGCCTTGATGACTGCAATTATGGCATTAAAGCTTGTACATACAGCTAATTACTTAAACAATATCACTTGAAAAATTCCATCTATAGTATGTGAAAGGTTAACAATGGGTGGTACTTGGGCAGGCTAAATAGCCATCTCGGAGAGTGGATAAAGAAAAATTGAATTTATTTAAAGAAGGGATAAAGGATGGGATAACCAAAGGTTGCATAGCATCAAGCCAAGGGGACATGGGGTCAATGATGGTAGCACCAGGAGCTAGAGTTTCATCCTTCTCTGACGTTACTGGTGGGAGGTGCTTGTGAGTGGGTCTGGGAGGTGAGTTGGTGGGCTTGGAATGCGGATGGAATGCAGGTGTGCCATCAGGTGCCTTCAGGACAGTTTCCATTCCCTTATACACTCTGATTCCTGGTGTCCAGCAAGTTTTTCCTGGTCTTTGTTCTCCTATGTCAGGAAGCTTACAAATGGCCTTTAAGGATTGTATCTATAGTCCTAACATTATATTTGGTACAGTTTTGTGAAAAATCTTCTCTGCATAAAACTATTAATAGCATTGAAAGTTCCTAATGAAAAGCAAGGGACAAATGAGTTATATTTACTTATTTTGATTTGTATATTGTTTTTCTCCTGTGGTTTAGAATATATACAGGATGAGGCAAAAGTAGTCCATAGTTTTTTGCATTGAAAATAATACAATGATTAATAAATAACTCCGTTCCATTTACTTTAAACAGTAAATCTACTTTTGCCCCACCATGTACAAACAGAAACCCTCCTGCCTCTCTCTTCCCCCCCCCCAAAAAAAATCCCAAACTCTAGGAGTCTACATGTTTTCAGTCCTTTTCGCTATATTCCCCCTATCTTTCTAATCTGTTTTGGGTTTGTTTCAATATTTAAATAAATGCTGCATATAAATAATAACAGCTGTCCCCAGGAATCCTTCCAAGGGGTACAGATGCACTGCTAGTTTGGATTTTGTCATGGAACTCTGGTGGAGATGTTGTGCCTGTTATGATTAAGAACTGCTCATTATCCCTTTAAAAATATCTGTGAGGAAGAAACATTGGAATATAATATGCTTTGCAATTTTGTTCCCTATTAGAAAGCAGACGAAGAGGATGTTGTTCTCACACCAGATGGCACCAGGGAATTTTTGACATTTGAAGTTCCACTTAATGATTCAGGATCTGCAGGTCTTGGTGTCAGTGTCAAAGGTAACCGGTCAAAAGAGAACCATGCGGATTTGGGAATCTTTGTCAAGTCCATTATTAATGGAGGAGCAGCATCCAAAGTAAGCAAATGTCAACTTTATTGAGCTTATGTCCATTAACAAAATCTTTAATTTTACCTCTATAATTATTTTGGAAATGTATACACTGCAGAGGAGGACAGACTTTCTATACCTCATAGATTGTGTTTCTGAGGCCATTAGTTAAATTTGTGAGACAAAAGCCAGATTAATAGGAGAAAAAGGTTAAAATTTTATTGAAGTTAATATTTTAAATTTTATATATATTGGGGCTCTACAGAAAAGAAGTGTAAACTGAAGAAACAGAGAGACTTGGAAGGTTATATTCCATTTAAGCAAAGAGCAATCAATACATCTTATCTAATAAAAGAGTAATATGCAAATTAAGCATCACTCCACTAGACCCACAAGCCATGCCAACAAGCCAATTAGGAGAGAGAATGCAAATCAACCCATCAAGATGGCTGTGGCCACAGAAAGAACACGTGGGAGGCTTGGGTTTCCCCAGCAATGGAGGAAGCCAAGCTTTCCGCATCCCCTGGCCATGTAGGCCTCCACTTAAGGCTACAAAGTTTCAATTATAGAAGATAAATAAACCCCAACAGAAATGGCTGTTGCCATGGAGCAAGCAGAAGACTTGGCTCCTCACCAGGCTACAAAGTTTTAATTGTAGAAGATAAATAAATCCCAGATACCAGGGCCTCCATTTGGGTCACCGGGGTGTGTGGCCAGCCTGCAAATCACCACAGCCCCCTCACCCAGGCCAGCTCATGCCCCAAGGGAACCCCCACCCTGATCAGGGACACCCTTCGGGGCAAACCAGCTGCTCTTCACCCATGCACCAAGCCTCTATTCTGTCTAATAAAAGTGTAATATGCAGACTGACCATCACTCCAACACACAAGATGGATGCCCCTATTTACGGTAGTCAAAGATCCTGCCCCCAGGTGGACACAAGATGGCCACCACAAGATGGGAGGAACCAGGCCTGCAAAGGAGGGCAGTTGTGGGTGATCAGGCAAGCAGAGGAGGGCAGTCATGGGGGACCAGGCCTGTAAGGCTGTAAGGGAAGGTAGTTGGGGGCAATCAAGCCTGCAGGGAATGGCAGTTAGTGGGAACAGACCAGCAGAGGAAGGAAGTTGGGGACAAACAGCCTGGCAGGGAAGCAGTTAGACATCAATCAGGTTGGCGGGGGGGTGGAAGGGGAAAGGTGATCAGGCTGGCAGGCAGAAGTGGTTAGGTGCATTTGGGAAAGCAGGCAGGTAAGCAGTTGGGAGCCAGCAGTCCTGTATTGTGAGAGAGATGTCTGACTGCTCCTTTAGGCCCAATCCCATCAGGATAGGGTCTAAACGGGTAGTCGGACATCTCTTGAGGGGTCCCAGATTGGAGAGGGTGCAGGCTGGGCTGAGGACACCCCCCTCCCTGTGCATGAATTTCATGCACCAGGCCTCTAGTTGTGTTTAATAAAAGAAAAAGGGGTTTGGGCTTCTATGAGCTGTAAATTTTGGGAAAGTAATTATATCTGTGAAACTAATGATAGATAAGGTTTATTTTGTAAGGTTTGTTTATGCAGACTATTCTTTTTGCCATCTATATCTCTGGTGATGAATATTGTCCTTCCTTCCTGGTTTGGGAGAAGTGGGAACACTTTCATAAAGGAAATACATGTCCTTTGTTCAGGCAGAAGGGAGAGCAGAAAACACCTGTTGTGTCTGTCATTTCTCAGTTGCCATCAGCTCAGAATCCTTATGCCAGAGTGGTATGTTTTGTGTTGGCATATTCTGATATTCTATAGCACTTAATGAATATTTTGTTTGTGGGGTTTCTTTTTCATAATATCCTAACCATGATCAAGCAACTAGACTAAAAATCAGTGATCTCTCACTTTGGGTTGGTGTCCATGGCTTCAACTACTTTGTCTCACATATTTTACAGTCCATAATCATTCTAGTTAAATTAGGAGAATCTATGCAAAGACCTAGTTTAGGTTCTGGCTTTGATCTGCCACAAAATAAAGGTTTATCTTTTCTTTTCTCCCTTACTGTCTATGGATCATTTATCCTATTTCCCAGTCTAGAGAAAATTTCCTGGTTGTTTGTTAAAAGGGCACTTGTCTCTCTGACTTGTCTAATAGCCTTGAGCTTTGGCATGTGTTGGGTTGTAAATAACCTTGTGGGTGTCTCTGGAAGGAATAAAGTAATCACTTTGAATCCTTTGAATTAGTATGCTATTTTGGTAAACAGATTATGATAATGACTTGATTTACAAATGTATAAATGATTGAAATGGACAAAGACTACAGTGACTGCTTGGACAATATGCTAGTACTCAACTGGGAAAGTCCATTAGGATTAAAGTCATCCAGTCCCCCCTGTCTCTTCTTTTTTTTTTGGCATTGTTTTTATTTTATTATTATTATTTTTTTAACTAAAATGAAAGCAACTTCTTTTACAATAGAGTTGTTTTTACCTGTTTTCTTCTCAGGATGGAAGACTTCGGGTGAATGATCAGCTGATAGCAGTGAATGGAGAATCCCTGTTGGGCAAGACAAACCAAGATGCCATGGAAACCCTCAGAAGGTCCATGTCCACTGAAGGGAACAAGCGAGGAATGATCCAGCTCATTGTTGCAAGGCGAATAAGCAAGTGCAGTGAGGTAAAGAACAAATAAATGAAAAGACCAAAGGCATTTGCATTTGAAATCATAATAAGACTTAGTTTCAGTCCTGACTTTGGACTGAGCATAGCAAGTCCTGGGACTTTTCCTTGAACCACTATAAATTATCTTTGCTTGCTGTGGTTTTATTGTTTTATCAGTGAGTTGTGATGTGTTTTCGTAGTCTGTGGCCAAAATATTCCTACTTGCACATTAGTATTTCTGTTGCCAACTCAACAGATAAGATGGGGATCTTCAAGGCACCTTTGGCTGACATCATACCTTCCTTCTCAGAGCCAACATTCTACATTCTATTCTATTAAACAATGTTGTAGCTGGTAGGAAGAAACAAGGAAACTAGAGTTGTTTGTTTTTTTTATCAAAAATGGGTGCCTCTGACAAAGCCCCTTGATCCTTTGGCATTGTCAAAAGTATGAGCCTCCACTTCTATCTGTTACCTCCTCTTCCTCCTTCATTATAAGGTTAACTGTTTTTCCTCTTGAGTGCCTGATTTTTTAGTTATATCTATTATGTAATACATTCTTAGTTCAAAATACATGCTGTGTTATGTAATTAGGGGTTATGGTCCTGTCTTCCCAAATAAATAAAAACATGTTCTTTTTTAGCAAGGCATTTGAAAATTAAATATAAAAATAAATTTATATATATATATATATTAAAAAACTAATATTGGAACCTTAAACAAATTTCATAGATCTATTGTAAATTATATGCCATCTATAGAATAATTAGAACTTACTCAAAATGTAGTTTATTTTTATTGATGCTAAAATTTCCATATTTTTAAATAAAGTAAGAAAAAATTACTAACAAATCACGCATATTGAAAATGCTATCAAAATAGCTTGTGCTTTTCTTAATTTTAAAGTCTATGTTTAGTAAGTATCTAAAGCATGCTTTCTAGGTTGTGATGATTACTTATCTGATCCTATAATACAATCATTTTTTGCAAAAAGTATATATATACATACATACATATATATATACATACATATATATATACACATACATACATACATACATATATATATACACACACACACACCCTTGAACTCAGTGGGTAGTCAATGTAGAGGCAACCATGTTTTGAAAGGTTATTGACCATTGATTTGCTTTTGTGTTATTTTTTAAATGGAGAATGAGTTAATAGTAATTAAATTAATTTTTATACCAATAAGGAACAATGTAACTGTAACTAAACATCGCACAGTGGAAAGCAGTATGATGTAGAAACATTCACTTTTATTATATAACTAGATGCCCAGTGCATGAAATTCATGCACTTGGGGGTGGGGGAGTCGTCCCTTAGCCTTCTGAAGCATTACTAGAATATAACAAGTTATTAGCCAGATTGAAAAGGGTTAATTCCACTCAGTGGATAGAGCTACAGGTTGAGAACCACTAGCAGGGTTGCCTAAGACCATCAGAAAACACAGATATTTACATTACAATTCATAACAGTAGCAAAATTATTTATGAAATGGCAACAAAAATCATTTTTTGGTTGGAGGTCACCACAACATGAGGAACTGTATTAAAGGGTCGCAGCATTAGAAAGGTTGAGAACTACTGGTCTAGAGTATTATTGACCCGTTCGTGGATGGAGTCTCCTTTCCGGGTGTCTGGTTATGTGGCTCATTCTCTAGCACATTGGCCAAACAGAGTAACATTCACCTCGACAAGACACAACATAAAGGGAACAAAACATGAATGTATTCACAACACCGATAACCCCAATATAAGTGACCACCAGAGAAAAGAGAATTGGGGGAGAGTAAAGAGAGCACAAATGATATCACAGAGAGAAAAATGGTATGAGAGAAAAGAAAAGGGAAAAAAAATTTATATATATATATATATAGGGAAAACACCAGAGAACAAACAGATAACCTAACTTACAAACACCAAATTTTCAGTAAAGAGGGTGAAGGCAGAATCTTCTATACAGAAAGTAAGGTTAATAATTGGAAGAATATGGGGAAGACCTCAGTTCACTCTAGAGGAAGTAAAAAGAGGATGAGTGGATAAGAAGAAAGAGAAAATAATAATAATCCTATTTAATAAAAGCATAATATGCAAATCGACCAAATGACAGAATGAGCGGTTGGTGGGATGTATGGCCGGTGAGCAGGTGGTGCCAGGCCAGCCAAGGCGTGTGCCAGTGGGCAGAGGGAGTGAACAGTGATTGGGGCTGGGGAACGACCAGTAGCAGTGGAGGGGCGATGGGAGTGGGGGTTGGCACCATCCCATGATTGGCCCATCTTGTTGCCTCCCGCAGAGGGAGGCCAGATTGCGGCTTAGGTCTGCTCCCCGGGAAGCTGGCCTATACTGTCAGTAGGACATCCCCTGAGGACTCCTGGACTCTGAGAGGGTGCAGGCTGGCTGAGGGACTCCCTCCAGTGCACAAATTTTTGTGCACTGGGCCTCTAGTAATAAATAAATTGATTTAAAAATAGGATAAAAAATAAAATAAATTAGAATTATGGAAACATAATGTGAAAAGAAATAGAAAATAAAGAAACAAACAAAAAAAGGAAAATAAAGAAAGAAAAAAGATATAAAGTAATAATAAAATAAAAATGAAAAAGTGAAGTGTCCTTCCTTTGGCTGGCTTAAGATCCCACTCTTCTGTACTGTCTGCGGTTTCTGTTTCCTGTTGCTCGGACTGAGGGCCTCTCTTCAGGCCAGTCCCTGTGGACTCTCAGGGGCTTTTCAGATTTTTTTCCCTTTATACCGCTCAGGGTGGCTGCATTGGTTTCCTGGAGACTGAAGCGAGGGGCTGTCTCTTTAGGAGAAAATGGCAGCCTAGTCCAGCTTGTCTGGTCTGACTCAGCACCAGACTCATGGCCACCTCTCCCGGACTTTCCTCTCCTCAGCACGCCCCCCCCCCCCCCCCCCCCCCCCCCCGGCTCCACAAGTCCGCACCTCAGCATGACTGAGTGTCCGCATCAGAAAGGTCCTGTGAACTAGATTCAGCGAAGTAAGCAAAGACCACAGAGGGGGGAAGACTGCGCCTCTGGAGCCCCTCTCCCAGCACCGTGCAGTCTGGGCAGCCGTGCTTGGTGGCCCTCTGGGCTCAGTCTGTGGTGACTATGGGCCCAGATCTAGAATCCCCTGCCCACCTCCTTTCCACAGACAGACGCTGTGCCTGTCCCAAGAGGCCAGCCTCTGTGCCATGAGGTTTCCTCTGACCCTCTGGGATCGGAGGTCTTGCAGTTCTCCCAAACCCTGATTTACTGTCCTCCAGGCAGTCTCTGCTCCCCGCTGCTAATTGTCTCACCAGCTGTGTCTACTTCCCCAATTCGGGATGGATGTTGTTTGATTTAGTTGCTCCTTGAATCTGCTCTGGGACAAGGCTCAGGACACGTCCATCTATTCCGCCACCATTTTGTCTCTCTCACGTTCCTCCTTGTGCATGTGAGTGGGTCTCATTGACTATGAATGTTTTGCTCAGGCAATTTGTATTCTGATGGTATTGGGATGTAGTGCATAATGAAAGCACAGACTTTATTTATGTTTTTATTGATTTTAGAGATTTTAGAGGAAGAGGAGGAGGGAGGGAGGGAGGAGAGGGGGAGAGAGAGAGAGAGAGAGAGAGAGAGAGAGAGAGAGAGAGAGAGAGAGAGAGAGAATATGAATCCCCTGAGAGAGAGAGAGAGAGAGAGAGAGAGAGAGAGAGAATATGAATCCCCTGCACACCTCTCCTGAGATCGAGTCCACAACCTGTGAATGTGCCCCAGGAATCAAGCTGATGTCCTCTTGGTGTATGGGACAATACTCAACCCACTGAGCCACACCACTCTCGGCAAAGCACAGACTGTATTATCACATTTATGCTCTGGGTTTGCCATGTACCGGTAGAATAACTCGGGGAGATTCCTTCACCTCTCTGATCTTGCTGTTGTCCACATGGGGATGGAAAGGAAGTTAAGTGTGGTCCTGCATGAGAGCAGGACTTGAAACTGGATTCTAAATGTCCTCCCAAAGCTAAACCCTGTCTATTCATTGTTTTCTGTTCACGTATCCTTTGGATGTGAGTATTTTCTCAATGCATAATTGAAATGTAGGTCATTTCTTTTCATTTCAACATTGTTCAGTTCCATCAACTTGAAAGGCCTGCTTCCTTGTGGCCTAGTGTGTATAAGATCTCTATTAACCAATTTAAGGAATCTCTGAGTCATTGATTTGGGATTAACTTTATTCATCTCATTATTCAACCAGTGTGTGCTCTGTGTCAGGCATTGGGGATAACAGGTTAAATCCATGATGACTGAAATATCGAATAATAAGATTGTGCCAAATACTGAGTAGGACCCACTTTTAAATTTGTGGAAGCTGGTGAGTGCCATATGTATACCAGCTTTTCAGTGTTTACAGTCGAGATAGTGGGATACATTTTTTAAATTGAAAGACATCATTCAACCTGCTATGCATACTTTAAACAACATGAAATTTTATTAAACCCTACAGAAATTATATTAGTTTTATATAAGAAACCAAGATTTTAATTTTTCCTAATATGAAGAAGCTATGTATACAATTAAAAGCATATTTATTGGACAACATCCAGTTTTTTGTTACTAAATATCATTTGTTATTTCCTGATTATAACAACAATATATGATCATTTGAATATCTTTTTAAGGAGCATATTATTCATATTATTTTTAGATATTGAGTTCATTCCCAATTTTTATACCTTTTCAAATAAAGTTCTGAGAAATATTGATTTCCTTGAATTTTTATTATTCACTTTGCTTATTATTTTGTAAGGTTAGTGACAACAAAGTGAAATAACTGGCCTAGTCAAACGTATAAGGTATTTTTTGAACCGTCATATATACTTTATATTTCCACAGTACTTTAGGAAAAGACGGCATCACTTTACACTGCTACACATTGTTATTTTGCTTCAACCTGGAGCTTATTTGTCTTCAGCAGGTGTTGAGCTTTACCATTTGTAGGGATGGAGCTCTGAACGGAATGAAGCGGGGTTGATTAACGTTTTTGCACTCTAAACAACTAACGAAAAAGTGAAAATTGCAGTTCATTTCCCCTCTTTTCTAATTAAGCTTAATTTTGATAAAGTTTTGCTATAAGGAGTCTGAAAGGGCCTGGGAGCAGCCTGAATGGTAGAAAGGCCTGGACTGCTCTCCCAGGGCCACGGGGCTCTGCCTCCTCCCTGAGAGCTGAGTGCCACTCTGAGGACACTTCTTGTTCTTAAACTTGTTTTCTAGTACACTCACACAAATCAGCAAGATATTTGAAGTCAGGTTTTGTTTTGTGTTTTTGTATTTTTTTAAGTAAAAAGACATTGTATCTTCTGTTAAATATTTATGTAGTAGTTCATTGATTTCTCCATTTAAATCTGTCTTTTGAGATGTAAATTAGATGTGGTTAGGGAGGCACAGGAGGTACTCAGTTTCAGGGAAGTGGTCAAGTGGGAAGTTCTATCTGATCAGGCATCTTACTGTTTTTCTCAAAAAGCCTGCATGGACAGTTTTTAACATCTTATTTTTATTTGACTTTGTAAAATTCTAAAGTAGCCTCTTGATATATTTAGGACTTCCTCATAAGGAGCTTTATAAAGATTTTATCATCTAGAAAACTGCAGTTATATAGTTTAACTATTTGTTAAGCAAACTTTAGGATATCTTATGATGAAATAAATTGTTGCATAACAAGTGTGTCTTGTGTGTAGAGCACCTATTGTATAGCAAGTCTTTAATGTATATGCTCATTTAAAAAATTCAAATATACTTGTTCTTAAAGATTCCAGTATTTGTTTCATTTGCTTTTGTTTTTATGTCTCCAGAGTACCTTGGAGTTTAGCCTTATTATTCTTTCAGAAAATATTCTCTTATTCTTATACATCAGAGACCTTGAATATTTCATTTACTTTTCAGAAAAGCTGTCAGTTGTAATCTGCAACTTAAAAAAAAACAAAAAACAACTAATAAAACAAATGCTCATTTCACAATTTAAACCTTATTGAGTCTAATTTACTCGCGCTGTGAGTTTATTTTTCTCCTGCAGTTTGACGTGCCTCAATTGTAATTGTGTTGACCCTCCAATGCATTAAATCTCCCCAGTGCTTATCCGACTGGGAGAGATAAGTCTGCAATTCGGAACTTCATTAAATATCTCATTTATATTAAACAGATGATATCTTCTTACAGAAATCATAATTTGTTCAGGCAGCAGAACTGCCACAGTGGGGTTTCATCTGTTTGGAAAATGCATTCTCCTTCCAGCTTCGCTGTGTTGTGCTGGGCCGCCCTGCCTCCCAGGCACTCTCTGCCTCTGGCTGCAACCAGCACCAAACATCCTAAGATATTGGTCCCTGGGTTAACCTCAGAGCCCACATTGGGAGGAGTGTGGTTAAGTGTGCTTTGTTCTTCCGTGAAGAAATGTAACGTAGGTTTTTTATTCATATTATCTTTATGGGGAATATGACTTACAAGGCACTGCTATTTTAAAGAATGCCACATGTAATTTTATTCATAGTGATAGAAGTTGACCCATTGTATATGTTTGTGAAATACACATCTTTGCCTATTTCGTTAGAATATGGTTTGTATTATATTAAAGTGCTTTTCTCAGTTATTCACTGTCTCATGCTTAAGATTACAATGAGAGAATAGGATGGTTATTCTTAATGTCTAGCAGAAGAAATTTAGGCTCAGTGTATTGTTTAAGATACATGAGCTGACAAGTGATCTTTAAGTCTTACAGCATGAGTAGTAATTATACCAGCACATACAGAGACTGTAGGTGTAAAAGTAAAATTTAATTTCCAGCTTCCATTCTGATATTGCCTTGTGCAAAGCAACATCTTGTGAAAAACTTTGAATTAAATCTTTACATATTGATTTCAAATAGATACTAACAGTCAATCTGAAAAACATAAGCAACCAGATAAGTTTTTAAAAAAAAAGCTTTTAATATACATATTTAATATACATATCTAGTGGTTGAAATCTGACAGAACTTAATGGGAGGCATGGTGTACAGTGGCCCAGAAAGTTTGTCATTAGGCAGAGCTGCCATCACAATTATTATGGTATGTGGCGAAGAGGTAGTTTGGTTGGTACCAAGTTGGATGCTAGCCTTGGACAAGTTGTTATAATATCCCCGTGCTACTCACGGGCCTCCAGTCCTGACTCCCCTGTCCCCTTTCTCTACAGCTGAAGTCACTGGGGAGCCCCTTGGCACCTGAGCTGCCCATTGAAACTGTGTTGGATGATAGAGAACGAAGAATTTCCCATTCCCTCTACAGTGGGATTGAGAGGCTCGATGAATCCCCCACAAGAAATGTTGCACTCAGTAGGATAATGGGTGAGTCAGGTAAAGCTGTTTATCACATCTTATTTTTATGCTTTAACTGGTTCACACAGAGATTATTAATGTAATATTAATGTAAAAGAGGGCCATGTTTTTCAACAGGAAAAGGGAAGAATCATTATAATCACTCAGGAAGGGTTAATATAAAGAGAGTAAATCAATACATTGCTTTTTAAAAGTGAGTTTTAGATTCTGTAATGTAGGAAGAAAAATAAAGGGATCCCATAGAAATGTTTTCCAGTGATCAAGATATTTTTAGCTTGTTTGAGATAATAAATGAAGCCGTGTTTTTTAAAAGATCAAAATGTAGTGGTTTATGGCAAGGAGGCTTCACGGTAGCGCTGTTTGGAGGGAGAGGGAAAATATGTACGTGTATATAAGATACCCACATTTATTTTGTTTGCATTTAATTGGAGAGTACCATTTTTTCTTGCATCTCTACATTTTCAAACCTTCATTTTAAAATCCTAAAACAAGGTTTTTGCATCCACTGTTTGATTCAACACCGTGCTGTGTGCATGGCCCACTGTGGGTAATCAGGTTGTGCACATTTGCTCTGTAGCAGGGTAACTTCTACTAACAGACCCAGTTAATAAGACTTATTTTGCCACGTGACTGTTTGGATGTACTGAGTTGCTCATCTTGGTATTACCTTGGGAGTTTTCGAATTTAAAATACAGCAAGCTGTTTTCATTAAAATGGCAACTGACATAAATACTTTTATTGCTGGTATAGTTTGCTAATATGAAGTTAAACTCTAAATTGTACTCTATTTTGAGTACAATTAAGTATAGATTTAGTACATTTAAATTTTCCATTATGGAGCTTCATTAGAAGGATTTATTTCATTCATCAGTGGATGTTTATTGGCAAGGCATTGCATACACACTTTTGTTATTGATTCAAAGGAATACAAACAATCTGTGCCTTCAAAGAACTTTCTGCTGGGCATGATAGGAAAATACTTAAACATGACTGCTAGAGTTTTCTGTTGTTCTTTCTCTAATTCCTCTAGCTTTCTAGTTTGGAAAAATTGCTAAATTCTCATTTATTTTGTTACACATGGAATTTAGACATGCCAACTGTAGTTTTATTTTGTCACCATTCTTCCTTTCCCATGGTTGGCTTACATGAAAGCAGAGGAAAATGATAAAGATACTGTGCACCTTTCAGGTGACAGGCATCTCACATAATTATCACATTAATTTATCACTGTTGTTGGATTTTCCATACTTTCTTGGATTTGGTATAAAACTTTATCTTTGCTAAATACTTTTTTATTGATAAAAGTTCAGACCCCTTGAGAGAGAGAGTGCATGTGTGCCTGGATCTGTGTGCATACAAAGTGATATGCTGTAATTTCCCCTCTATTATAGGAACATAGGACTTGCCATACTGAATCAGACCATTGGTCCACCAGTTCCTGTAACCGGCGTCCTGCCTCCAATCCCTGATGCTTCAGAGGAAGGCGAAAAACTAAACTAAAATACAAACCAAAAACCAAACAAAATCCACCTAGTAACCTTTTGAAGTGCTGTATATTTGGGTTGAGGATTCCTCCATTTTCATTATAGTCTATTGCCCTGATTTTGTTAGCTATGGATTCATGAGTATGCTTACTTTTGCATTGTCATTGGCATTGTTTTCCATTCCCTCAGATAGAGATGTAATGGACTTTTAAAACTTTATACGCTTCCCTCAAGATATTTAACTTCCCTCCCAGCTCTGTGCTTTGTGAAATACTGTGCATGCCCTTTGGGCTGGGGGGTGACAGACTCTTCCCATTGGATAATAGGCCAATTGATGTTGAATAATTAGATATTTTCTTAAGACAATATTTTTTATATGTTGTACTGTAATCTAGGGATCCCATTGAGTGTTACCCTGAGAAATACATGTACTTAATGTGATTTATTTTTAGTTTTGAAAATCTGAGAATTCCTCAGTCTTTGTCAGCCCCTATTTCAATAGCATTGGCCCTAAAACACAAATATGCTTTAAGTCAGTTCCCCTTAAAGTTAGAAATCCTGAAAATCATGTTACCTTATAACAAAACAGGTTACCAAATATAAAATATTAAGAACACTGAATTTCTATTCATCTCTACCAATACCAATAGAATTTATTGATTTGCATAGTATCTAGATACATGGAAATTTCTCACATCTTGCTTAGTAAATGTCTGTCTTTTATGCTTTTAGATTAACTCCTGTTAGATACTAGTGGGGGTGACAGTATTTACTTCATGATCAGTTATGATTCTATTAGAACTTGGTATTGAAATTCTAGCTGACTACATTAAGAAATTATTTATTTTATGCAAACAGGATGAATTTTCACATAAAATATTTCTTACGCAGGCCTGACTCCAGACCAGAATGACTTTGAGACTTTCTGACTCATATCAATGGGAACATATCCTAGGAAATAAGCTCCTAAAAAATAGATTTAAAAGGGTAGAATTGTTAGAAATGGAAGGATATCAGATGCCATCAGCCACACTTTCCCAATTAAAAAATGAAGGAATGAAATCCCAAGATCCCATGGTGATTTTTATTTGTTTTCTGGGGAATACTGAGATCACACAACTTGTGACATTCATTCTTTATTCCTATCAATTTATAAGTACATCTTTAAGCAAAAATCATTAGACATTCTCTAAAATCTATTCCATTTTGGCAAGTACTGTGATCTAAAAATCAACGAAGTCAATCTTTTAAAACAATGTTAGAAATCATATAGTCCAACCTCCTTATGTTCTGTTTAAGAAATTATAGACCAAAGAAGTTAAGTGACAAGTCTGAAGCTTTATAGTTTCTGTGCTTCTGAACCAAAATGATGATGTATATTTTTGAGTCATGAGTCCCACATTACTCAAACCTATTCCATCTCCTTAGCTTTTTAAAAAAATTTCTTTATTGATTAAGGTATTACATATGTATTCTTATCCCTCATTGTCCCCCACCCTTCCACTCATGCCCTCACCCCCCTGTTGTTTGTGCATCTCCTTAGCTTTTGATAAGGTCAACCATATTTGCAAACAAAGGCAAGATGTCTCCAAATGTCATTCATATTGGCTGACTTTCTACTATTGTGCATTTTAAAAGAGTCATCCTGGACTTTTATCACAAAGAAATCTGCAGTGAGTCTGCATAAGATTTCTTTATTTTAAAAGCCTTAAAAATATTTTACAAGTTTTTAGACCATCCTAACTAGTTAATAATAACAGTTCTAGGCATAGCTAACTTAACCAATATACTTATTTCATAAAGTTACAAGCTGACATTTGGGAGCATTGAGCCTTAAGTTTTTTCCAATGTTTTAATCTGAAGAATTTTTCTATCTAAAGTAAAAGTGAAATCTGTTGTATCCATTTTAGAATTTAATCTTAGTAGCTTTTATTTTCACACATTTGTGGTGAATTTTTTTAAAAAAAATGTTAATATTATTTCATCTTGTTAGAAATTCAATATAGAAAAAAATGGAACATTAATATTTTATTGTGAGTCAATCACTGGAAAAATTTTTCTCATTTCATCTGTTTTTTATATCATATATGGCATTGCCTTCTATGTAAATGTGCCAATGAATAAATGTTTAGTAAACAACCATCCTGCATCCCATTGTTTCCCTCCTCTTCAGGATATTGACTGGTTGACATTTTAGTTTGTAGTTGTTAGTTAACTAGTTGAGGACAAGGGAATATTTATCCATCAAAAAATAGATCAAAGGCTTCTCAAGTCATCCTTCAAAGGTTTCACATTTATGATGTGCCAAGTATAGCGAACGTAATTAAGAGGTATTGACTAGGTGGAGTTTGGTACAATATGGAGTTGATAATTTAGTCATCCATTACTCCCAAAATGTTCCTGGAGTTGGATTCTAAAACTATATTCCTAGCAAGATGTTAAAAAGTAGAATATTGATGGAAAATATGAATTCTCAAATTTTAAAAGATATTAGCCTCCAGAATCATGGATGAGAGAAAATAGCCAAATTCCTATCTCACTATTAGGGAAATTTCTTGCCATTCATTTATGTATAATTTTTTTTTAATCACTAAGGTACAGTATTGCTACTAAAAATGTCTTATGAAAAAGGATTGTCATTTGAAGAACCATTCAGTGTTCGATATTGATTATTAGGCTGTCAGAATAGATTGTATAAACCCAAGAGTTTTAGTTGTTTTAAAAATGAGTATACTGTAATTACACCATAATGTTTCCTTCCCATATATTTTGCCTGTGTGGGGTTTTGGCATTTAATGCTTTAACACATGCCTTGTCAATTTCAAGCTGTCAGGGGAAATTCAGGTTTTGTCATTTTGTACGCTTTTGGGGGGAAAAGTATGTCTTGAGAAGGAAATATTTCTTTGGGGAATAGTGCTAGACTGTCTAAACCTTATTTATGAATGATATTTTATTGAACAGATTTCTATCTTTCTGCTAATATCCTAAAACTCTAGTGGGAATAAATGAGTGACTTGAATTCAAGAAAGGCAAACAATTACTAAATATGATTTATATTTTTTTTATTAGTGTTCATAGAGGTTGCTAGTTTTTATAGTTTGTCAAAATGAATGCATATCAAATCAAAGTAGAGTGTTCTTCTTAATAAAATACCTAGTAGAACTTTTAGTGAACATGTAGTAGTTCTATAATAGAGTAGTTTATGCTAAATAATGAATGCCTCTGAAATTTCTAGCAAAGTTGTTTTTGTAGGATATCCTGAAAAAAAATATATATATATGACTTAATTTTTGCTTCTTTGTTGAAATGTCTGGTGTTATTTATATTTTAGAAATCCTTAAAGACCATTTGACATCCCTAAATTTCCATAATAGTATTAAGACAAAAATTATCATTTACTTCAAAATTTAAATCTTAAGACTGATGTTGAAATGCTAATAGACTTTCTATGCATTGCTCTTGTGCTATTTTAAGCATTCCTATCTAATAAGAGGGAATGTGCACATGCTGTCACAAAGATGGCGGCACACACAGCCAATAAGGAGGAAATATGCTAATTGACTGCCACACCCTCAAAGATGGTAGCACCCAGTCCCCTCAGCTCCACCGTGTACCTGACTCCATTGTACCCCAGTCCCCTTGGCCCCCAGCTGCCCAGGGCCTGCCCAAGGCACAGGCAAGCCTCGGCTGTCAGCTGCCCAGCTGCTCAGGGCTGCCCAAGGCTCAGGTAATCAGGGCTGGCCAAGGCTTGCGCTGTTGCCAGTGGCAACAGAGGTATGATGGGGATGTCACCTTCCCCTGATCGCTGGATCTCCTCCACCCCTGAGGGCTCCTGGACTGTGAGTAGGGCAGGCTGGACTGAGGAACTTCTTTTGCAGTGCATGAATTTTCATGCACCAGGCCTCTACTGCTTTATAATACAGGAAAAGTGTACTTATTATTTTTATTGGTATTAAGAACTATTATAGCTGATTTAACAGCTTTGGACATTGGAGTTAAAAATGAGAGTTTTCTCATTCTCTTGTAAGATGATAGGAAAATTGTCTATTTTCCTTGCTTTGTTGGAAAAGCCAGGGCAGTGGGTCCATATCATCCATGCTACAGATTTCTGTGCGTATGGCCTCCCTCAAAGTATTCATGTGGATCAAAGCTTGGTCCACAGTTCTTCCTCATAATTATGGCACAAGGTTTTGGTAGTTAGTCAGAAGAACAATAGGCATTTTTGGGAGGAAAATGGCATCATTCAGACCCCAGCTTTTTCTTTAAGGGCCTGGAATCATAATTTTATTATAAGAAATGTAAATTCCTGTCACGCTGATCTGTGAACCTGAGCCAGTTTTCCTGAAAAATACTAATAAGTGTAGACAGTTCTGGGTCTTTCCTTACCAAGAACACTATATCCTAATTGAATAAATCAAAATTTATAGGCTCCCTTGTCTTAGGGCTTAGGCTAAAAATCTCTGGGCAGTCAAATTCTTGTTGTTGTTTTTTTTTTAATCCTCACAGAGGATATTTTCCCATTGATTTTTAGGGAGAGTGGAAGAGAGAGGGAAAGACAGAGAGAAACATCTATGTGAGAGAAACACATCAAATGGTTGCCTCCTGCATGAGCCCCAACCAGGGCCAGTGCTGGGGAAGAGCCTACAACCAAGGTACTTGCCCTTGACCAGAATTGAACCTGGGACCCTTTGGTCCGCAGATCTACGCTCTATCTGGGCCAAACTGCTAGGGCTCAGATTCTAATCTTTACTTTTCTAGATCAATTGTGCCATCTTCCCCCAAATCTTTGATTCTGTATGTGCTCATCTTTGAAGCATCACTTTAATGCACAGTGCGCATTTCTGCTTCATGCATTGAATAATGATCCTGTCGATGAAAAAGACCTTATTAATCATTTAACCCCCAACTCGGATGTTAACTTTTGTTAAGATTTGGAGCATCCTCTGTCTCTGGTTACCCAGGCAGTAACAGCACTAGAGAATGCTACAGTACTTACTGCACGTCATTCATAGCACCAATCAGTTATCACCTTTTAAATGTCTCCTTCTCTAGGGATTGAACGATTTAGGAGCAGAAATTAAGTCTTTCTTACATGCCTGCTACATGAATGAATGGGTGAATGGTTGGTGTAAGTCTGCAGGGCTTCCCTCTGAGTTTCCTGATAAAAAATTTCAAAGGACTTTCATAATGTAGAAACTATGTAGCATTTTCACACTAGAAGACATTCTAGAGATCATCTCTGCCTTTATGAAATCTAAAACCAGAGAAAATGAGTACTCACATCAGAGCTACATAGCCCTGGTGGTAGAGGAAGGAATAAACCTGAGGTGTCCATTTGACATTCATCTATGAAAAATAAATTGCCTTAATTAAATTGTGTTCTATCAGGTTGAACAGATGTTTGGAAATTTAGATTTTTTTTCTGATGTAGCAAAGTATTAATACACATTAACAACAGGAGTCTAGAATTTCTTTCTTTTCTTCTTTTTTTTATTGGATAGGTAAATACCAGCTGTCCCCCACAGTGAATATGCCCCAAGATGATACTGTCATTATAGAAGATGACCGGGTGCCAGTGCTTCCTCCTCATCTCTCTGACCAGTCATCTTCAAGCTCTCATGATGACGTGGGCTTCGTGACAACAGACGCTGGCCCCTGGGCTAAGACTGGAATCAGTGATTCAGCAGACTGGTAAGTTCACACTCCAAGAAATAAAAGAAATTAATGAAGACATTAGTGAATTACAATCACAGTTTATCTGTATTTTTTAAAGCTCTATCACTGAGCACAGTTAATCTATTTTTTTTGGGGGGGGGGCGGGCAGTGTTCTATTTTCATGGTTTGAATACTCTTATTAGTTATCATTCTTTTAATAAAAAAATTCCTCAAAACCTATGAACTTGCCCAATTGTTTTAGTCTTTGCAGGGCTGTATAGTAATTTAGCTAAAACAATAACAAAACTACCAGAAATTGGAAAACCCTATTTGTTTGTTAATTTACTATTTATTGGTTTTTATTAGTGTCAATTTGATGAATTGTTTTTCTATTAAGTAAATACATTTTAAGCAAATCTCTAAGGTAACTCAAAATTTTTTTATAATTAGATGACCTTGGCCAAATTAATAGTTGATACATTCTGAGAATGGGAAGATTTATTTTAAGAGTGCTATAGCTAAACTATTTATTTTTCATGGGCTTTTATTTTTCTTCCTAATTGAATTTATTGGGGTGACATTGGTTTACAAAACCATACAGGTTTCAAGTGCACAACTCAATAAAACATCATGTGCTCACTGCATCGTGCATCCACCACCTTTTACCCACCTCCACCCCCACTTCCCTGTGGCGGTTCCCACTGTTTTCTGTGTGTGTGTGTGTGTGTGTGTGTGTGCACGCGTGCATACACACACACACACACACACACACACACACATTTGTTTTTTTGGGGGGATAATCCCTTTACCTTCTTTCACCCAGTTCTTGCTTGTAGCATTGTAACTTTGGGGTAGTCTGATGCAATTTTTTTTTCCTCCTGTATTTTTTAAATTGAAGTAAGCTTTTGATATTATTGAGCAAATGTGTGGTCCATGAATGTGAATGTGGGTTTTAGTTTGCATGCCTAGCAATTATATAAATCAATAAACAATAGGAAAGTGCTGCTTCTCGATGAGCTTGTAAGATTGTAGTGATAATTAACACAAATGGTGTGAAGCATTATACCAGAATTTTCTCATTGCCCTTTCTCTGGGATCTTTTAGGAATACATCAGCAAAATTATATTTTAATGCTAGTGGCTTAGTGCACAAAATTTGGGCACATTAAAAGGTAATTAATTAGAGGAAATACTTTAATATTGCTATTTGTCCTTTCTCTATAATAGAAGTGTAAGAGATTAACGGAAATTAGTAAAATGTATATGAAAATAATATATAAATTTATTAATAAACTGGGTGGGAACACAGGCAGGCAGTATCACATTTCAGGCCGGGAACACAGGCAGGCAGCATCACGTCCCTGGCCAGGGACACACGCAGGCAGCATCATGTTAGTGCTGGGCAGGCTTGGAAACCTCTGCCAGGGGCCACTTCCAGGCCAGGTGGCCTCCAGGCCAGGCCATGCAGGGGCCGGCTCCACCAGGGACCAACTCGGGCTGGGCCGCATGGAGGCCCTCCTGGTGATGGCAGTCCCCACCCACCCGCTCCTTCTGTACATGCCTCCTGCTGAGCAGTTGTGACATTATGGTGTCCTGGACAATTTGCATATTCCTTTATTATTATGTGGGATTATAGTATTGTTCCTTCACCACTTACCCATTTCTGCTTCTCCTCTTCCTTAGACTTGCATCAACATTAAATATTAGATAGGAAGAGTCCTGGTGACTGGCATTTATTTGTGTTAACATTTTAGTGATGACATTAATAAAATGAATGACCCCTGTAGTCCTCTTCCCCCATTCTTCTCATGAGCTCATGAAAACACATTCCGGTCATGGGTCAGTTCTCCTGGGTCAGTGTTCCTTGGGATCAATCTCACCTTTTATTTGCACCCTTGAAAAGTTCATATCTCTTTTTTCTCTCCTCCCCTCCCTTCCCCTACTATCTTCTTCTTTTTCTCTTTCTCTTTCTCTGCCTCTTTCTTATCTCTTTTTCTCTTTCTTTCCTTAATTCTCTTATTGAAGCACAGGATTTAAAAATGGACCTCTAGCCCAACTAGTGTGGCGTGGCTCAGCAGTATATCATCGACCCAGGAACCAAGAGGTCACTGGTTTAATTCCCCCATCAGGGCACATGCCCAGGTTGCAGGCTCAATTCCCAATAGGGGGCATGCAAGAGGCAGCTGATCAATGATTCTTTCTCATCATTGATGTTTCTATCTCTCCTATTCCTCTTCCTTCCTCTCTAAAAATAAAATATATATATATATATATATATATATATATATATATATATATATATATATATATATTTTAGACTCCACAGATGCTTTTACATTTGCTGCTGGAGAGTTTATCTTTCTGAAGTGAGAGCAACAACAGGGAAAAGCATTCATCTTAGGGACAAAAGCCTTTGAATCTCTACCATGATGAGAAATTGTGATGGTAGCAGAGGAATAGTTCCATCGTGGTCTGTGTGTTGGTGAAAGTATATAAATAACTAGCAGGGATTAATTGTGGCATTATCTTCCCTGAAGAAATTCCTGAAATGGCGAGGACTTGTATGGTTTTTCTCTGGGGGATGTGGGGCAAGGAAAACAATATGAATAAAGGGTTATCTAAACAAGAATGGCAGCTGTTCTGAATCACAGCAGAAAATGTAAACTTTTCAACCTGACAATATCTCCCTAATCCTTGATGAAAATGTTATGAAAACAAAAGGGAAATAAGACAGGATTAATAACTGGAATTTTAATAACATTAGGGGTCAGGATATGGTTACATTCTTTAAAGAGTCAGCTGTTAGTCCTGAATTCTGCTGCCCTGTTTATTGTGTCTGAAAGCAGTTTAATGGGTCTATTGATAGGGAAGAATTAATATGTCATGGTTTAAGAATATTTAGTTATATTAAGACTCATTAATTTACTAACTCATTTGACATTTTAAATTGTGTGTGTTTACAGTTCACTGTACTGGAAGGATTACTATGTCAAATGGCTAAAATTTTAATTTGTTAACTAATAGAATATATTTTTTTCAATCCATTAGTTGATTTAGGGAACATTAACAATGGTTTATGGGGAAAATAGTATATCTAATTTTAATGACAACATAACTTTAGAGGATATAAATTGGTTTATGAAATATAATAAGTAGTTTTCAAATAACATTACCAATAACAGTTTATATTTCTTTGAAAAATTTTACCAGTAATTTTATTAAAATTGTATTTCAAACTCATTCTGTTCATCAATTTGATGCCTTATTGGAGTTCAGGTTTAAAAATATTCCACATGACATTAAAACAAACAAACATGCAGAATGGTTGAAGAGATCGACTTTCAACATATGAAAAGTAATTTTATTGAAAATGTGTTATTTTGAGTTTTCCATTACTGGATTTTAATTATATGGGTTTTAATTTTTCACTTCTAGGACTGTATATTTAAATTGGGATGTATGTGCTTTGGAAATTGTAAGCATAGTATTATAGTATCTGAATACTACTATGTAAGCATAACACACAAGCATATATATTTAAGAAACATGCATAAATAATGTACAATTATATATATATATATATATATATATATATATATATATATATATATTGCTCACTATTTCTGTACATACCTATATACACATTGCAGTTGACCTTTGAATATCATGGGTCCACTTAACGTAGATTTTAAAAAAATAAATATTGTACTGTTTCCATCTGTGATCAGAAGTCTGCAGATACAGGGGGCTGACTGTATGATTGCTCTACACCATTTTATATTGAGAACTTGAGTATCCATGGATTTTTGGTACTGGAACCAATCATTATGGATACTGAAGGACAACTTAAGTTTTTGGGGATTAAAAACATATGGATGTTTGATTGCTGAGGGGGTAGGGGGACAGTTGGCTCCAGAAAACCCAGTGTTGTTCAAATATCAGCTGCCTGTAAGCATCCTTGGATATGAATGGGCACATGAGGCTTCAAGATAAAGTTTTATAATATATATTAAAAATGGGAAGAGTTAGTATAGAATATAAACAAAATAACTTCACTAGTGCATATATGTATATGGTAGTGTTTTAAAAACAAAAACAAAAATACACTGTTATTGCCTTGGGCTCACCCCCCAGCCTCTGTGGGTATGACCTTTTTCAGGGCTTGGCCCAGGACAAGGTGAGGCAGGGTACTTGCCCAGGGTTCAAAATGCTTACTCACTCGTAGGTTCCAACCCTGAACTTGCATGGTCCTGAGGGAGAGTACTGCCTTAAATTCAGAGCCCTAGGCACTTACCTTGCCTCATTTTAGGGGAATTCTTTGTATTTGGTGGAAAAGATTGAGAAAGAGTATTCCTTGTGTGGTTTTTAAGGATCCTATTTCCATGATCATATTTAGTATTTCCTTTTTAATTTGAGAAAGTCTTTGTTGGGCAATAGTAATTTATTTTGTATAGGGTCTTGCAGTTTACAAAAGGCTTTCACTTATGTCATTGAATTCTCTCATGGGCCTTGTGAGATGGATGAAGCAGCTAGTATTCTCTCTATTGAGCATGTAGGACATGCAGGTAATACATTTCAGTTCACCTAGCCCTGTGGTCAGCAAACCGTGGCTCGTGAGCCACATGTGGCTCTTCCACAAAATACCACGTGTGGGCACACACATACAGTGCGATTGAAACTTTGTGGTCAACCGCAGAAGTCGGTTTTCGGCCTGGGTGAGTCTATTTTGAAGTGGCGTTAGAACACTCAAGGGGCCAAAGAGCTGCATGAGGCTCATGAGCCGCGGTTTGTTTACTACTGACCTAGCCTGACATGAGAGCATTTTCCTTGGTGTCTTCTTTTTCACCAGTTTTGGTTTAGCTACTTTGTAAGAGCTAGTTATTTTATGCTCAGTAAGTTGTAACTTAATATCTTAAAGATTTCCAAAGTAGATCACTATCCTTTTCTCTATATGGAGGATAATTCTCAAAAAGGGCTCGTGAAGCTTGCTTCTGTCAGGAGCATAAGGAAGGTTGTCATAAACCCAGTGACATAGTGGAAGTGGCCCCCTCACATTCCAGTGGATTAGGTAACTGGGGAAGCAATTCTGCTACCTGGTCAGATAGGTAAGGTGGCGCAGCACTGACACAGGAAAGCTATTTTCTCAGTGTGCCATCGGAGAATGATTTTCATTGTATGGGCTGCGCTCAGAAAACCTGAGATGCTTTTTAAAGTCTTTACAGGTTTTTAAAATAGGAGTGATTTCCTATCATCCCTGCCACTTCCTTTGGGAAAACACATCAAACTGTATCCTGTTCCAATGGTTTGCCATACACTTCATCATCTCTGCTTCAACCACTGTGTTGATATGACCATATCAAATGTCATCTAGTCTAAGTCATGCTTTTCCTGACTTCCTCAAATACTGCTTATTCTCTCAGCTATGCATCCACAGCTTCTGCTATATATTTCTTGTTTGGCATTTTTCTTAGGAGATTTGAGATCTTTTTCTTTTTTAAAAAGATACATTTTTACTGATTTCAGAGAGGAAGATAGAGAGATTAAAATATCAATGAGAGAGAATCACCAATCACCTCCTTGCATGCCCCACATTGGGGATCGAGCCTGCAAGCTGGGCATGTGCCCTAACTGTGAATTGAACCATGACTCCTGGCCATGCCGGTCAGGCGAGACCAGAGGTCTTTTGATTTTGGTACCCAGTAGGAGGCCTTAATCAGTATAGGTTCTAATAAATATTGTTGAGTTGACATTCTCAGTTGATTAAGTATTGCAGAGAAACTACCTCCTTATAAAACTACCATTTTCCCCTGAAAATAAGACACTGTCTTATATTAATTTTTTCTCCCAAAAGTTGCGCTAGGTCTTATTTTCAGAGGATGTCTTATCTTTCCATATGCTAGGTTTTATTTTCGGAGGATGTCTTATTTTTGGGGAAACACGGTAGATGCCATAAGGTGCTTTTGTTTTTTTGTAACCCCAGCTAAAGGATATGTAAGAAGACCAGAAAACATATATCTTTTTTAAAACTTCTATTCATTTTCAATTTATATAGTTGTTTTCTGTCAATATTTATATTAATATATGAAAAATTTCCTGAAATTTTTAATCATTTTAATGTCTAAAAGACACAAGGCTTATTTTTGATAATTATTTAAAAATAATAATGTATTGTCAAGTAGGGTGAGGAAAATGTCACAGGAGAGTAGAAGAGGAGAGAACTCACATGGAGAAAGAATTACTAAATTAAATGTTGTATTTTTCTATTACTATACAGTCACAGTTTAAAAAAATGTATTATATTTGTGTAATTTAGTTGAAATGTTTTTGAGGAATATACTTATATACACACTCATATACACAGGTATATATAACCTTTCCTAAATGGAATGTCTTCTTCTTTTAATAAATATGTTTGTTTTTCTTTCTTTTCATACCAGCTCTTTGAGTCCAGATGTTGATCCAGTTCTTGCTTTTCAACGAGAAGGATTTGGACGCCAGAGTATGTCAGAAAAACGCACAAAGCAATTTTCAGATGCCAGTCAATTGGATATCGTTAAAACACGAAAATCAAAAAGCATGGATTTAGGTAGTGAGTACAGTCTCCATGAATCTTTATCTATATAGATGCTTTCAGATTACAATTGATGGTCCTAAATACATGTTGTTTACTTGGAGCAATAGAGAAATGTGAAATGTGATAATTTGGCAAAAATTAATTTTTCTCTGAGTTTGACATAAATATATTTCTCATAAATGGCATGCTTATATAATGTGCAATATATCAATATATATGTTTTCTAATGAGAAAAGAAACAAACACATATGCATATCATGCTGTATTCATATATCTTTATTTGAAGCAATGAAATGTTTTAACACTGGCTGTTTAAAACCAATTTCATTGAAATAATATTTGTTTGGTTTTGGCATTATGAACTAAAAGAAAAAAGTTTTGGAGAAAAATCATTATCTCAATCCATGTCTAGAATTTGGGTACTTCATATTTTCCTTTTAATGCTATTCTTTAAGGTTTATTTAATAGAAACTCTCGTGTGTTGAGAAGAAAGGCATTTAATTGAGTAGTAATTTGAGAGACTATTGTAGAAAGTATTTGAAGCAAATGAGAGCAGGAAAATAACCATAGTTGTTCAATCAAACACCAATCAGGTAGTGTCTCTTTTTAAATTCTAATCCACCCAAACAAACAAATAAAATAATCATGTCTGTACACTGATTGAATGATTTTTAAACCCTTTGTTAATCAACTGTAACTTATTTATGCTATTCCTTGGTGGCTTTTTATACTTCAAGACTAAAAGCATTAATTTAAATTAATTACATTGTACATGCATAGAAGAAAAATTTGGCAATACATTGCTTTGGCTAATTATGATATGCTAACATAAATAACATTACATGTCTGTGAAATGAAATGACTGGCATATTGCATGGAGACACTGCTTCCTCCTCCCCTTTTGATTATATATATTTGCTTGAGTTTTCATATTATTTGCATGAAATATTACATAAGAATTACCTCATAACTGAAAAGATCTGGGAATGGTTGAAGCATGTTGGGCTGTGGGACTAACTGGGCTAACCGGTATACATTTACCTTTTAACAGTAGCTGACGAGACTAAACTCAATACAGTGGATGACCAGAAAGCAGGTAAGAATGGACCATTAAACTGTTGCCATAGAAACTGTGGTCCAAGAAGCTTATCATAATTATAGAGCTGCCAATCATACTGTATGTACACATAAATATTCCAGTCTTGCATGGATATTTTCATTGTACAAGAAGAAAACGTTTCTGTTAGGAGAAATTTATTAGTGTAGTACATCTAAATTGAAATGTAATTTAGTGCTTCAAAATTGCTTAATCAATCTAGATTTTCTTAATTGTATTTGTGTAGGAATGTTTTGTCACAATTTAAGAAAAATCAAAATCCTAAAGGCATGATCTCTTGGGTAGACTTTTGTTTTTAAATTATTTGTTTTGCCTAGATTAACATCCAAAGAAATATTTTCAAAGTGGTGACTTTTACTTGAAGGGTAATAATAGCACACGTGTAAATATTTGTCATCGAAGGTCAATGTCTAGTATTACTATCATCATTCACTCAGAAAATCTTTTTTTTTCTAATGTAAGAATTAGGTCATAGTTTCCTGACATTGAAATTAGACTGTATTATGCATATTGTTCCTTATCTTAACTTTGTGAACCTGTCCAAAAGTTTTTGTCCACTAGACAGTTTGGCTCAGTGGGTACAGCTTTGGTGTGATTCTGTTCACACCACAGTTACAGGCTCCTCCCTGGCCCAGGCCCTGGTTAGGGCGCATGTAGGAAGCAACCAATCAGTGTTTCTGTCTTTCCCTCTCTCTTCCACTCTCTTAAAAAATAAATGGAAAAATAGCCTCAGATAAGGATAAATAAATAAATAGAATAATAAAAGTTTTTGTTGTTTTGTTAACTATTTAGGGTGACTTCAAAATGCTGTGTAAACCATTCCATAAAAACAATGACTTATATTGAACTGGGATTTTTGCATTATAGTGTATTTTACTTTTTATATTATTTTATGAAAATAATAAAAGGAAAGTTTTTATTTACAATTAAAGTATTGTGCTCTGTACAATTGAGAATAATGTTTTAATTATTCTAGGCCCAATATGATGTAGCAGTTATACCACTTACCACTAATAAGGTTCAATTCACCTTTTTAACCTACAGTAGTAATTGGTTTGAAAATGTTTCTCCCACATATATATGTAAAGATGATTGTGAATTGGAGTTTTTACATTCTGTAGAGTAAAAGATGGATTGTAAAAATTATATCCAATAAATCATGGATTCACTATAGTACACGGCAAATCAGTAGTTATTTCTCTTATCAAACATAAAATTCATTTAAATTTTGAAATAAGGCTAAAGAAAATAATTTTTCATAGTTCCCATATGCAAATTAGTTATTAGTTTTTGGAGATATTATTGCACAGTACTTTTAGGAAGTAATTTCTGTCCAAATTAATGTTCATAAAAACCAAAGTGAAAAAAAATTCAATAAAGAACATAAATTTTTATATTATGCCATTTAGGTAAAGTAAAGGAAAATACTTAATTTAAACAACTCACTACAATGAAAAAAGAATAGAACAATTCATTGTGATTAAAATATAATGATATTTAGATTTTAACTAGAAACATTAAATAACTTTCAAGATGAGAAGGAGAATTTTATCACCTTAATTGAATTGTGTTTATTGTATTTTAAGATCCTAGATATAAAGAGCTTTTTATTTATTTTTTCTTTTTTTACTATGTGCACTCCATTCTACAAATTAAATTGGAAAAACTTGGGCTGGAGGAAAAAAAATTATTATATAGACAACAAATTTTCAGTTATTTTTCTCATTTCACTTCACTTCACTTGAATTGTTCAGATTATCTTGATTTTATAGTTTAGTTCAGGGTTTTTTTGTAGAGTCATAGTGGAATTTTTAGCATAGATTGTCTAGCCATAGCCTTTTCTAATGAAAACTGAATTCCATTTCCCTTTGCTCCTTGTTTTTCAGCAAGATGGGTAGGAATAGAAATAGAGACTTAGGGAAAACAGTGTGATGATTATTTTCATTTAATTCCTGGAATTAAGGGTTTTCTGATATTTGGGAGGTAAATTTACTTTCTGAAAGAAAAGAGAAAACAGGAATTAGAAGAAAATTGGGTTGCTAACAGTTTAATTCTTGAATAGAAAAAGGAAAATATCCTAATGAACCAAAAGATTTATTTAAGGAGCTTTAAATATTGTTTAAATATTAAAAGATATTGATTTTTTGTGTGTTTTGTAAATACCACTAATTCTTTGATCATATTTTAATAGAGAAACAAATTTTCAATTTTCCTTACTAGTAAATGCAGAATTTTTAATGTTAGGGATCTCATTAACCCTCATCTAGGAATTTAAATACATTAGTTAGCTAAACCTTTGTTAAAGTTTCTTTGACAAATATAATATTCAGGTGAATAATATCCATTTTACAGATCAAGAATTAGCAAGCTCTTTCTGTAAAGGACCAAATAGCAAATATTTACATAGGCCATTATAGCAGTTACTTAATTCTGATGTAGCATAAAGCAGCTATAAAATATATGTAAACAAACAGGCAAGATTTGTTTCAATTTTTTTTCTAGATTTGGCCCCAGGTCTAGTGATCCCTATTATTGATTCACAACTTACAGGTGCTTTGTTTTATAACATTTTATTGTGAAAAATTTTAACCATATATTAATATAGAGACAGTAGTTCATTGATCTGTCATATATCATACACTCACCATAGATAATTATCAACATTTTGTTAAAATGTTATTCTACAGTATAACCTCTGATTTACACTTATAAAATATCTATTGCTTTTTTAGTTATATTTGTTTTGCTTCCCAGATTTGCTGTGTTTATATATTTTTTAAATTTATTTTTTGATAACCATCACCCAAGGATATTTCTTCCGAGTTTTTATTTTTTATTTATTTTCTTTTTAAAATTTATCTTTATGGTTGCAAGTATTACAGATGTCCCCTTTGTTTCCTTTTCCCATTGACCTTCTCAACCCCACACCAGCCCCTCCCAGGTCTTCACTGCACAGTTGTCTGTATCCATGGGCTATTCATACATGCATATAAATCCACCAGTTAATCTCTCCCCACCTTTTTTTTATCTGTTCCATGCTTCTATGTCACTGGATCTATAAAAGTTTGTATTTTGTGCATTTTATGAAACCAAGAAATCACCAAATATTTGCTTTATTCACTTTGATTCCTTGATTTCTTACTTTTTGTTCAGTTACTTGGAACAAAATTTGTTTTCCATCCTGTGACATAACTTTTACGTGTATTTAGAATACAAACTTATCAAAAGTTATACTAATGTTATCAAGAGAAAAAGTAATATTGATCATCCTGGAAAGAAATAGTTTATGTGAATTTTTGTCATAAAATAATCTATATATATGTAAACCTACATTGAGAAAGTTAAATAAATCATCTTTTTCTTCCCAAGCACAATATGGGATATTTCTTCTTTGGAATCACCCGTCTGTCTTTCTGCCCATTACATTTTTAACATATTTAAATTTAAAATTGCTATCTCATGAAAATAGATGAAGATGTAATGTAAATGAATCTTAAAAAGATAATTCTTGTTTTGACTCTGAATTTATTTTTTACTCAGCTTTACACTTTGAGCCATTGAAAGCCTATGTCAGTGGTTGGCAAACCATGGCTCGCTAGCCACATGCGGCTCTTTGGCCCCTTGAGTGTTCTAACGCCACTTCTTCAAAATAGACTCGCCCAGGCCGAAAAATGACTTCTGCACATGGGCCACAAATTTGATCGCACTGTATGTGTGCACCTGCATGTGGTCTTTTGTGGAAGAGCCACATATGGCTCTTGAGCCTCGGTTTGCTGACCACTGGTCTATGTCATCACCATATATCTTTTAGTAATACCATACCAAACTAATTCTGAGTTATTAATCAATCTAGGGGCTGATGACCCATGTAGGGACAAACTAGTCTCTCCTACCTGCGCATTTGTTAGGAGTCTTTCTAATCATGTACATAAGAACTAATTCTGTAACTTGGATTTCCCAGGTGGTAGTACAAAACAGTTACTTCAGTCATCTAGAGGCTAAACTTATCTACTTCTAAGTCCCAGGTCAGGCAGTGATGGATGATACTTGCTTACTTAGTTAAAGAAATCTGTTTTGATTGCCTTCTAAAACATGGTGCTTTTGGTGTTATCTCAGGCCTTTCTGCCCTAGATCTCAAGAAATAGGGGCAAATTGTGAATTCTGAGTTCTTCCCTCCATATTACTGAAAAGTTTTTTGGTACTTGGTAAGCCTTCTTCCTTCTATTTAGCAAATCTTTCTCAAGGAGTATTTCCAGGCCTGGAGGCCTAACTCCTCATGTCAGCTCTTCAATCTCTCCTCCAGACCTTTCTCTAGGAGAGCCCTTATGTAATCTGTTTCTGTTCAAGTCTTGTATTGACCCTTTCCATAGCATGCTAATACTGCCCAGACGAGGTTTCAGCCTGGGGTCAGGGTGCCTTCATGGTATTGGTGACATGTAGTTTTTTGTGCTCTCTTTCAGGTATGAGTTGTGAACCTGCACTATACTTGACTGAGCTCATTGATATGAAAGTGTAACTTCTGTTAAAAATTGGAAATATATTTCCAAATTTTGAAATATCAAAAACTAATTTTGGTGAAGTTAAAAAGAGTAGTACTCTTGGTTGCTTACCTTTGCCTTCTAATTATTTGTGCTCTACTAGTGAGCCTTTGGGTTATTCTGGTTCTTTTACATTATTTACATAACTTGGAATAGATGATTTGACAAAAAATTCACTTGGGCTAAAAATGGAAATTAATAACTTAAAGCTTAAAGTTTTACCTCATGAAAATAAAGAAAATAGACAAAGTTTAATATATGTTTGGGAAAAATAAAAACAACTTAATTTTCCTCATAATTTATAAGTGTTCAGGAATATAAATTCCACCACTAATTCTAATTAACATTTTATTTTTGTAATCCTCCAAGGTTCCCCCAGCAGAGATGTGGGGCCTTCCTTGGGTCTGAAGAAGTCAAGCTCATTAGAAAGTCTGCAGACCGCAGTTGCTGAGGTGACTTTGAATGGAGATATCCCTTTCCATCGCCCACGACCTCGGATAATCAGAGGAAGGGGGTGCAATGAGAGCTTCAGAGCTGCCATTGACAAGTCTTACGATAAACCCACGGTGGATGATGATGATGAAGGCATGGAGACATGTAAGTTTACAATGTCATAAAGAAAAACAGTTGAAATAGCTCAATAAAGCAGCAGTTTTTTAAAGAGTACTTCAGGCAGCCCAGGGGTTCACAATACCCTTCACAGGGAGGGCTAAACTACTTTCATAATAATACGAAGTTGTTTATCTTTTCTAATTCTCTCACAAGTATACAGGGGGGTGTTTGTAATGTGACATTATGGTAAAGTGGATGCAGATCAGATAGAAGGATCTGTTTTTTCAACTAGGTATTTTTTTATTTTTTATTTTTTAAAAAAATATATTTTTATTGATTTTTTACAGAGAGGAAGGGAGAGAGATAGAGAGCTAGAAACATCAATGAGAGAGAAACACCAACCAGCTGCCTCTTGCACACCTTCTACCGGGGATGTGCCCACAATCAATGTACATGCCCCTGACCGGAATCGAACCTGGGACCTTTCAGTCCACAGACCAATGCTCTACCACTGAGCCAAACTGGTTTCGGCTGTTTTTGATTTTTTAATTTAGTAAATCTTCATTGCTTAGATTATTACAGTTGTTTCTCCTTTTCCCCCCCATAGCTCCCTTCCATCCATTTCCCACCCCACCCTCTGCCTTTACCTCCCCTGCACTGTCCTCATCCATAGGTGTATGATTTTAGTCCAGTCTCTTCCTGTACCCCCACACCCTTTTCCTCCTGATAATTACCAATTTACACCCTTTCTTTGCCCCTGATTTTATTATATTCACCAGTTTATTCTGTTCCTCAGAGTTTTAATTCACTTGATTTACTTCTTGATATATATGTATTTGTTGTTCATAATTTTTATCTTTACTTTTTTCTTCTTCCTCTTCTTAAAGAATACCTTGCAGCATTTCATATAATACTGGTTTGGTGGTGATGAACTCCTTTAGCTTTTTCTTATCTGTGAAGCTTTTTATCTGCCCTTCAATTCTGAATGATAGCTTTGCTGGGTAGAGTAATCTTGGTTGTAGGTACTTGCTATTCATCACTTTGAATATTTCTTGCCACTCCCATCTGGCCTGCATAGTTTCTGTTGAGAAATCAGCTGACAATCATATGGGTGTTCCCTTGTAGGTAATTAACTGTTTTTCTCTTGCTGCTTTTAATATTCTCTCTTTGTCTTTTGCCCTTGGCATTTTAATTATGATGTGTCTTGGTGTTGGCCTCTTTGGATTCCTTTTGGTTGGGGTTCTGTGCACTTCCTATACTTGTAAATCTATTTCTTTCACCAAGTGGGGGAAGTTCAGCTGGTTTTAATGAGATTTGCTAAAATATAAAACAGTGCCATTGTTCTCACTATTATTTTTGGAAAAAACCAGGTATTTTTTTGTAAAAACGTAATTCCTGTTAATATGAAATTTTATTTTTATAATGTAATTAATATTTTTGAGTTTTCTGTTTTAATTCACTCAATATTGATAATACATAATATTTTTATTTTGAGTTTTCAATAATTTTTAGGAGCATAAAGGTATCCTGAGATCAAAATGTTTGAAAACCACTGCAACAAAGTATATGTATAAAGTGATGTCTCCAATGACTACATTAGTAATCTATAATTTTAAAAACATGTTTTTGTTTTATTTTTATGAATTAATCATACTTTCCTTAAACTGAACTAACAAGTTATTTTTGTGAGTGTATATTTCCAAATTGCAAAATATTTTAAGCCAAGGCAATTAAAAGTCAAAGGTTAATATGAATGATCAATATGTTTTCCATCATATATTGGGGGGAAAATTAACATTTATAAATATGTACAATCATATGCCTCAGGGAGTTATCAAATATTTATGGTATAGTATAACCATTTAATTTAAAAGTAAGGGAAAAACTCTACTAGTTTACTTGGAAGAGAAAGGGCTAAAGAGTTTTAATAGTAAAAACTATTGATTAGCTTATATTTTTCATAACTACTAATTTACATTAAGAAAAGTTGGAGATACCACATCTTGAAGATAAAGCAAAGACTAGAGATAATTAAAGTGGAATGCAAGCTACTTGCAATTTAACTCTTAGTTATAATTTATTCTCATACTTATGTAAGAAAAATTGTGGCGAGGAAGAGAGTTGTTTTTGTTGTTGTTTTACTTTAAATTCTTTATTATTTAAAGTATTACATGAGTCTACTTTTCCCCCATTGACTTCTCTCCCCCCACCGGCACCTCTAAGCACAAGCCCTCACTCTCTACTGTCTGTGCTATTGTTTATTATATTCCACAAATGAGTTGAGATCATGTGATATTGATCTTTCTCTGACTGGCTTATTTTGCTTAACATAATGCTCTCCAGGTCCATCCATGCTTTTGCAAATGATAAGAATTTCTTCTTTTTTTATAGCAGCATAGAATTCCATTGTGTAGTTGTACCATAGTTTTCTAATTCATGCATCTGCAGATGGGCACTTAGGCTGTTTCCAAATCTTAGCTATTGTAAGTTGTGCTGCTATGAACATAGGGGTGCATAATATCCTTTCTGATGGGTGTTTCTAGTCTCTGGGATATATTCTTAGAAGTGGGATTACTGAGTTAAATGGGAGTTCCATTTTTATTTTTTTGAGAAACCTTCATACTCTTCTCCACAGTGGCTGCACCAATCTATAAATACATTCCCACCAGCAGTGCAAAGGGGTTCCATTTTTCTCCACATCCTTGCCATCACTTGTTTATTGATTTGTTGATGAAAGCCATTCAGACAGGTGGGAGATTTGCATCTCTCAAATGATTAGTGACTTTGAACATGTTTTCTTATGTCTCGGCCTTCTGTATATCTTCTTTCAAAAAGTATCTATTGAGGTCCTTTGGCCATTTTTTGATTGGATTATTTATCTTCCTTTTGTTAAGTTGCTTGAGTCACCTATAAAATTTGGAGATTAAACTTGTTTTGGAGATAACATTGGCAAATATGTTCTCCCATGCAGTTGGCTTTCTTGTTGTTTTGTTGATGGTTTCTTTTCCTGTACAGAAACTTTTTATTTTGATGTAGTCCTATTTGTTTATTTTCTTCCTTATTTCTATTCCTTCAAGAACTGTATCAGTGAAAGTATTGCTACAACATATGTCTGCTATTTTGCTGCCTATGGAGTCTTATAAGAATTTTATGGTTTCTGATCTTACATTTAAGTACTTTAACCATTTTGTGTTTTTTGGTTTTGTTTTGTTTGTTTGTTTGTTTTGTTTGTTTTTTGTATGTGGTTTAAGTTGGTGGTCTAGTTTCTTTCTTTCTTTCTTCCTTTCTTTCTTTCTTTCTTTCTTTCTTTCTTTCTTTCTTTCTTTCTTTCTTTCTTTCTTCTTTCTTCTTTCTTTCTTTCTTTTTTTTTTTTTTTTTTGCAAGTATCTATCCAATTTTCCCAACACCATTTATTGAAGAGACTATGCTCTTGCCTTTTGTCAAATATTAATTGACCATAATGGCTTGAGTAGGTTTCTGAGTTCTCTGTTCTGTTCCATTGGTCTATATGTCTGTTCTTGTGCCAGTATCAGGCAGTTGTGAGAACAGTGGCTTTGTAATATAGCATGATATTTGGTATTGTGATCCTTCTACATTATTCTTCTTTTCTGAGTATTGCTGAAGCTATTCAGGGCCTTTTTTTTACTCCAGATGAATTTTTGGAGAGTTTTTTCTAGATCTTTGAAATATGCCGTTGGTATTTTAATGAGGATTGTATTGAATCTAGATTGCTTGGGGTAGTATAGACATTTTAATGATGTTGATTCTACCACTCCATGAACATAGTATGTTCTTCCATTTGTTTATGTCTTCCTCTGTCTCTTTTAAAAGCATCCTATAGCCGAACCGGTTTGGATCAGTGGATAGAGCGTTAGCCTGTGGACTGAAAGGTCCTGGGTTCAATTCCGGTCAAGGGCATGTACCTTGCTTGCGGGCACATCCCCAATAGGGGGTGTGCAAGAGGCAGCTGATAGATGACTCTTTCTCATTGATGTTTCTAACTCTCTATCCCTCTCTTCCTTTCTGTAAAAAATCAATAAAAATATATTTTTTTAAAAAGTCTCCAAAGAGGAGACTTTAAAAAATAAATAAATAAATGCATCCTGTAATTATCTGAGTACAGGTCCTTTACCTCCTTGGTTAAAATTATTACTAGGTGTCTTAATTTTTTTGTTGCAATGGTAAATGGAATTTTTTTAATTTTTATTTTTTAGTTTCTCTTTCTGTGAGTTCCTTATTGGTATATTAAAAAAAACCATAGATTTCTGGTTGTTAATTTTGTATCCTGTTACATTGCCAAATTCATTTGTTAAGTCTAGTGGGGTTTTTTTTTTTTTTTTTTTTTTTTTGTTGTTTTTTTTTTTTTTGTGTGTGTGTGTGTGTGTGTATATATATATATATATATATATATATATATATATATATATATATATACACACACACACACACGTATTATTGATTTTGTACAGAGAGGAAGAGAGAGGGATAGAGAGCCAGAAACATCGATGAGAGAGAGTCATCGATCAGCTGCCTCCTGCACACCTCCCACTGGGGACGTGCCCGCAATCAAGGCACATGCCCTTGACCAGAATCGAACCCGGGACCCCTCAGTCCGCAGGCCGATGCTCTATCCACTGAGCCAAACTGGTTTCGGCAAGTCTAGTTGTTTTTTATGGTTTTTAATGTACAATGTCACTGCAATAATCTGCAAATAATGACTATTTTACTTCTTCTTTTCCAATTTCTTCTTCTTGTCTGATCACTATGGCTATCACTTCTAGTACTATGTCAAACAGGAATGGTGAAATAGGGCATCCCTGTCTTGTTTCTGTTCTTAGGGGAAATGGTTTTAGTTTTTGCCCATTGAGAATGATTTTGGCTGTAGGTTTGTCATACAAACTTTTATTATGCTGATGCATGATCCCTCTATTCCCATTTTGCTGAGAGTTTTTTTTTATCAGAAAAGGGTGTTGGATTTTGTCAAATGTCTTTTCTGTATCAATTGGAATGATTTTGTGATTTTTGTCTTTCAGATTGTTTATGTG